ATACAAGCGGACACAGGCCTCAAGAAGTAATGTTGGATAGTGTACAGCGTCCCTCTGTTTATTTCTCGCATCCGCTGATGAAGAACACAGGCGTGTTCGAAAATTACGAACTTGGAACCTCAATCTCCGTTCTTCATTTTTGTCACCTGGTTAATATTAATAAATGTTTTTCGTACTGATTACATCGGTAACCGTTCGTCTGTCTTTATTTTATTGACCAACTTATCTACTCTATTTTATAATATATATATATATATATATATATATATGTGTGTGTGTGTGAAAATATATAGAAAATAGGAAGGAACTGGTTAGGTAAATAATTTTAACTTATTTTAACTCAATTTAATTTAAATAATTTAAATAATTATATTGAAGTTTTGGCTCTTGTTTTGAAACATGGGACTTCTTATGTCGCGATTTGGAATCATATTTTTTAAATAATTATATATATATATATATATATATATATATATATATATTATATATATAAATATAAATATATATATATATATATATATATATATATATATATATGCCAGAAGACGTATAGGTTGCATAAATCTGATGACGCAAATCTGTGATATTATTTTACTTCAATATACTCTTGTTTGACACATAGTTATATAAATTTACTTATTCATTTGAATGTCTTTTTATTTATAAGAATAAAAGATTAAAAGTTTACAAGTCTAAAATAAACATTGGTGATCTTCGAATCATTTTGAACTCTGGTTTTACTTAGTCGCAATACAAAGCGAAAGTATTTCACTTGGTCATAAGCTAAGATTTCTAAAAATAGGTTTTGTTCAGAAGAAAATGATACGGACTTTCCATTTGAATGAGTCCAGACATTTAGGCACACTCCTTAAAGTAAGCAAGGGTAATTTTCTTGTCCAAGAGTCATACTGTCCAATTACAGTTACTTCGTCGTTCCAGCCGAGAGACAAGTTAACACTGATTCTCTTTCTGTGTCACGAATCAACAACATATTCTATGCAGAAACTTTAAATTTGACACGCGAAAACTTTTTAACTCTCTTATTTCTTGTTTGTGCTGCGTCTTTTCAGGACGTAAGCGATCATGGCTCTCCACAATTTCTTATCCTTTGTAGCTCTTAATAAATTGCGTGTGTTTGTTATTTCTTCTAAACCGTTTTCCGACATTCATTATTTAAAGCTCAGAATGTAAGTTATGCTTTGTATTGCTCTGTCCGTCTTGACTTAAATAAGTCCTGTGAATGTCAGATTTTCCAAACCCTCTTCTCTCATCATCTTCATTAGAAATGTCTTTCTGACGTCACGTATACGATTTCCTTTTTCTCTAAAACTTTGTTAATTGAAAACATTTCGTTAATTTTCTCTTGCTGGGCTCTCGGTGTATTTTTTTTTATCTTACATTATTTACTAGATTTTCATTTACTTAAATGTTTTTTTTATGCAAGTCACCCGAATATTTGAAGATATATTTCTCTAAGAGAAATATATGTCATACCGGGATTCGTTATTTGCGGTCCCAATCTTAGCAATTGATGACATAGTGTTGATCGCAGAGCATACAGGTGTGCGTGTAGGTGAACCTCATGAAGACACATAAAACGGAATTTTCCACTCTCTCATGTTTTATAAAAGTGTGTGTGCAAGGCCTTTACAAAAATCATTTTTTTTAGCATTTTTCTAAGCGTGGAAGTAAAATAGGAAGAAGAGCAGACGTAAAGTAGAAAGGGGCGAAAGGCAAGGGTGTATCATATTACCGGAATTGCAGTGAGACAACCTGAGGATTCATTATTGGTGGCTAAACTCTTGACAACATTGGATATGCAGATTGTGTTAATAGCAGACACAAAAAGTAAACTATAGAATGTAGTAAAGGAAAGCAGGAAGAAAGGACTAAATGTCAATTGTCAAAAATCAATATATGGTTGTCAGCAAAAAGAACAGCCTTAGACGTGAATTACGAATTGCAGATTAGTTGAGATTGTTGTCAGGAAGCATGAAAAAAAGTAACAGGTGCATATCATTAGGATATGCAGGGTAGATGACACTAGACTTATATTAATTTTGTAGTGGTCGGGAAAGCATCCTCTCGGGAGTTTGTCCCACAAAATGACAGTTCTGGGAATGGAACTTCCTCCTTACCAATGCAATACGAAGGGAATAGGGATGATTCAATTCTGTGTTCGTAGCATGTAGGATTCAAGATTTTATAACATATTTATGTTATAATTTTCAAATAAATTATACTTGCTCTACTTTGTATTGAACACACTTTTAAGAATAGTATTTATGCTTATTGGAATTTATAACCAATCCTATACTTGGGTGTATACTCTCTCGACTCCCCCGTCGTATACGACGTATGAGGCTCAAACTGATCAGTTCCTAGGAAACCGACAGCCCGACAACATCACGTGAGGTTTGATTATATTGGTGATGGTTTCGTGCAAGACCAACCACACTTTTTGAATGGCCGAATACCTGGTGCACTACGTGCCACAGCGTTCTCAAACGACCCTCCGCATGTTGTGAATTAAGAGTTGTATATATGTATATATATATATATATATATATATATATATATATATATATATATATATATATATATATATATATATATATATATATATATATATATATATATATATATATATATATATATATATATATATATATATATATATATATATATATATATATATATATATATATATATATATATATATATATATATATATATATATATATATATACACAGCCAAGGACAACTCTGAATTCACAACCTGTGGGTATATATATATATATATATATATATATATATATATATATATATATATATATATATATATATATATATATATATATATATATATATATATATATATATATATACCTAAGGATATATATATATATATATATATATATATATATATATATATATACACAGCCAAGGACAACTCTGAATTCACAACCTGTTGGGTATATATATATATATATATATATATATATATATATATATATATATATATATATATATATATAATGAGAGAGAGAGAGAGAGAGAGAGAGAGAGAGAGAATGTGTGTAGATATAATAGGTCTGAGCTGGTGGAACTAAGGTATGTAATAATAGCGATAAAGTAGCAAGAGACTAGCAAAGTTTTGTCGGGAGGTAAAGATGGCAATGTTGAAAATAATTAATTACTCACAAGTCCACGCCATCGCTTTTAAATTCTGTCAGTGATAGGCCGTGAGGGCCGGACAGCACCAGCCCTGTATCATAGCACTACTCCTTTATTTTTCTGGTCTGACATGATAGAGAATGGCAATAGGAATTATGTATTTTAAGAAACGATACAAATCACCGAATATTTTCCCACTATCTTTATCGATGGTACGAATATACTAATGTTATGATCCGGTTCCTTGTACCACGGTGATAGTCCAAGGTAGAACCAATAAAGAAGAACTCGAACACAGGTATGGAATAACACAGATATATTACAAACAGAAATATATACAGAGAAGTAGAAAGTGTTAGTACGAACAATCAGGTTTAGTAGTAATTGTCTGAACGCAACTCTGTTTCGGTCTACCTCTGACTCGACTGACTGACTCGCTCGCTCTGACTGACTGACAGACTCCTGACTGACTTCACTCCAGACTTCAGACTGAACTCTCTGCTTCCTCTTGAGGCGCAGTATTTATTACGTATGGAATAGTCCATTATGTTATTATGGGTAAGGTCCCATAAACTAATTAAGAGGAGTTTAACCCTTGCTGACTGTTTAGAATTCGGTTGCGGTTTCTTCTAAAATCTGATTTGACTCCGTCCTAACTGTTTATTTCACTTTATTTTTTTCTCTCCTCCACCAATATAAGGTTGGATAGGTTCACCTGTAACCCGGTTCACTCTCCTCCGTGGACTTTTGAACAAGAGTAGAGGATTATATATTGTTTCCTGTTTAGGATTGGGTTTCGGTTCATTCTAAAATTCTGCTTTACCTTTATAATCATAACGCCTATTCTTTCGTATGTTAATAGAAATCAAAACAGTAAGCCTCTGTCTTGAGTGACCCTTGGGCCTTGGGTGAACAAAAAAAGATCAATATGTCTTCCATTTGAACTCTGGCGTGAACTTTAGCCCCAATAGACGTTTGAAACAAAGGAAAGTACGACCGTTCATAAAAACTGGAGCAATTTTAGGTTTTAATCTGTGCTGATGAAACATTACCCCCTTTGTTATAGAGGTATTGAATTATACAAGCGAATTTTTCTCCCATTCATCTGCGAGAGATATGACAGCAGAGAGATTAACTGCTATTCCTGGTCATGCATATATATTTACCAAAGAGCTGAGAATATTCTTAGGCAGATCCTTGTGTATGCGAGCATTGATCTTGATAACCAAGAAGGTTCTTCCAGAAATTCCATAGCTGGAGAGTTAGGGTTAGAATCCCCCGATGTCAAACCATGACAAATACTTTCGGAATATCTAAGGTAGTGTTTCGAAAATCTTTTATTCTCGGGGTCGCATTTTCGGAATTAAAATTTAATCTCACCAAATTTTATGTGATAAAAAGTAGATTAAAAAAAAAAAAAACAAACAAAAAACAAACCCAAGAGAGGATATAAAGGAGAAAACTGCTGATTCAAAGTAAGAACATTATCATTGATAACTCTCTACACCAATTTGCGGAGACTAGTTACTATATTCTTAATATCTGATATAATGTTAAAATATCACAATGATAAAATCGGTTATAAATTATTTATACTAATACTAGGACTCGTGCATGCAATTACAAGTAATCCATAATAATGTTTTAAATTTTGAAATCATGTTTATTTTTTGGCATATGATTTTTTTAAAACTGTATCGAAATTTTTGATTGTTTTTCAATCATTCCGCCTCGCCTGCTATCCTCTTTCGCCACACCTGCTATCCTCTTTCGCCTCACCTGCTATCCTCTTCCGCCTCACCTGCTATCCTTTTCCGCCTTAAATGCTATCATCTTCTGCATCACCTGCTATCATCTTCCGCCTCACCTGCTTTCCTCTTCCGCCTCACCTGTTATCCTCTTCCGCCTCACCTGCTCTCCTCTTCCGCCTCACCTACTATCCTCTTCCGCCTCATCTGCTATATCATACCGCCTCACCTGCCTTCCTTTTCCGCCTCATCTGCTATCCTTTTCCGCCTCACCTACTATCCTCTTCCGCCTTACCTGCTATCCTCTTCCGCCTCATCTGCTATCACATTCCGCCTCACCTGCTCTCCTCTTCCACCTCATCTGCTATCCTCTTCCGCCTCACCTGCTTTCCTCTTCCGCCTCACCTGTTATCCTCTTCCGCCTCACCTGCTATCCTCTTCCGCCTCACCTGCTATATCATACCGCCTCACCTACTATCCTTTTCCGCCTCATCTGCTATCCTCTTTTCCGCCTCACCTGCTATCCCCTTCCGCCTCACCTGCTATCCTCTTCCGCCTCATCTGCTATCCTCTTCCGCCTCATCTGCTATCCTCTTCCGGCTCACCTGCTATCCTCATCCTCCTCACCTGCTATCCTCTTCCGCCTCACCTGCTATCCTCTTCCTCCTCACCTGCTATCCTCTTCTGCCTCACATGCTATCCTCTTCTGCGTCACCTATGAGATGCGACACCCTTTGAGTACCACTAATTTCTTAGGTGATTGGTTTCAGGATGTGTTTATTATGAAGCGTTGCACCGATTCTATGCGTAATTATAGTTAAGGCATCAGCAGTGAATAAAGAGGATTGAATACTATACTGTTTGTTGCTTACAAGTTTGTTTCTGCTGAGGTGATCAACACCTTTCTAGTTGATGACCCTAAGAAGCCAGATAGGGCGATATTGTGATGGGGAAGAGCACTCACTCTTTTTTATTGTAATATATTTTAAAAGTAGATCAGCCCTCCCTCTTCTTTTTATCTAGATAATTGTCACTCCTTGTTTTCACGGCGTATCTCTACATTAACTCATTTTGGGAACTAATAGGAATGAAAGTCGTCCTTTCTTTTGCGTACCATCTGTGTTTCTTCACCATCTTTTAAAAAGAGCTATAGCTTCATTTAGCGATGATAAAAGGGAATATTGCGGAGGACGGTAATGACGCCTCGCTGTCTAACGTATCATTACCTTTCGGTGTTAGGCAATACATTAGTGGCCCCTTTTATCAATATATGTAGTCGTTGGAAGGAAGTCTTTTGGCAAGAAGATACTTGTCTGACGGCAACTATTAACTGCAACTTCAGCGAAAGGTTTTCTCTTGACACTAATTTGAATGTTCCATGTTATCCTTCGCAAATTGTTAGACTCATTCGGCACTGTTTAAATAAATTGAATGAAATTAGCAGACGGTTTCTTTCACCAATAAGAGGAACATCGATTATTAATATACTTGCTGCTGCATCAAACGTCGGATTATTTCTTTCGTATGAAGACCATTTATCGCAAGGAATTTTATATTACATGCGGTAAAAAAAATAAATAAAATAAAACAAAATAAAATCATAACAGAAAAGTAAATATCGATAACTAGGTAAATACTAATCAAATTTTATGTTCGATTCAAACTATAAATATTTATTGGATCGTTTCTGCTAATTATCCCCAAATAATGTAAAGTTACGTATCGCAAATATTAATTCACCCCAAGAAAATTTATAAATTTTAAATCAAAGTTTTTATGCCTTTTTATTAAATCTTTGGCACTATTTTGAAATTATAAGTTTTAAATCACAATTTGTTTAGCTTGACTCGCAACAACTCCAACCCTTAGAATGAAAATTTACCAAATATCAGCGAATTATTCACATTTCGGAAATGCAGGTGATATTCGAGGGACTTACAAGTAATTTTTACAATTTAAAAAAACAAATCTTGGCTTTTTTATCGAGGTGAGAGCGAACAAAGATACCACACATACAAACAGCACACCGAAGTCTCTCACATTTGGGACGATTGCAAAGGTCAACCCAACCGGTGTGCAATGGAAGGGCCTCGCTCTGGGAGAATTTGGTGTGAATTTTAGTAAATACAAATTCTTTCTATTTTGGAGTCAATTAATAATTTTGGGTGAATTAACAGAAAAAAAAAATTCTCTTTATTTTCGTAAACTGAAAAAAACTATTCTTCTTTTTCTATATGCCATGTCTCTTCAGAACTTTGGCAGCCATATCTTTCTACTATCACCAGTCCTTTGTTACTGTTAATATTTTTTTTTTTTTGTTATCATTTCTAAAACTTGTTCTGTCATCCATTTACACAAGCTCATTAGGTAGATTATGATTTGTTTCCCTCTGTCCCTCATGCCGTCAACCTGTCATGTGAGTATCAAATTTTCTAAGCCATCTGTCCTCATTGTATAAGCAACAAATTCCACCTGTCTCTTCTAGATATTAAGTCTAAGAGTATTTCATGTTTCTCTTCTCTCTAAACTTCTTCGTTGCTGAAATGTTCGGTCTCATGTTTTTGGTAGAACAACG